TAGCTCTGTGTGCAGTACCCATACGTGTCGTAATCAACTAAACAACGGTTCACTTATTGGTTACCAATACTATTGTTAATAATACTTAACACACAGCGAAACCTTACACTCACTCTAACCGTTAAGGAGAGTGTAAGAAAATAGTGACCAAATTCTCATTAAACTCGTTGTAATCATTAGTTTTCACTCCTATTATTGACAAGTTTTTTGTACGAAACAAGTTATCCGTTTGTTTTATCCATTAATTTAATTGCTTTCTATAAATAGTTTTGCATTTTCAAAGCCTACCAATAAATTCATATAAAAAAAGACTAATTTTACTCTAATCTCATGATAACTAATGTATGACTGACTTGTTTGCGGACAGACATTGGCGGAGGTGAGGGGCCGACACCCGAGGAGAAGGAGAAGTTGCAGCAATTAGAACAGGAAAGACTCGATGCGCTCCGGGAGGCCGAGGAGAGACGACAGGAGAAGCACCGGAAGATGGAGGAGGAAAGGGAGGGCATGAGACAAGGCATCAGAGATAAGGTCCGCACCGGCACTCACGGAATATTCTCAATATAATATACAGAATATTCTGTCCCATTACTGTTGTGTTGCATATAATACGATAGGAAACGATTTTTTGCTCTTGTTTTTGCCGTTCAAATCGATTTGCAATTCATTTTCTCTCTCAATATTTCCCTTACATTTTGATTGCATTAATGCCTTATTTCTCACATTATTTTGATTTCATTTTTCTGTTCATTATTTTCTTCTCTCGTATGTCTTTTCCCTCTCACTGTCTATACTTCCCGTTTGTAATGTTTTGTTACAATATATTATATTTCTCTCTCACACTCTCTCCGTTCAGTTGATTAGTTTTGTATTTTCTTATACCCATTATTATTGTTACTATTATTTTACTCTCAATTATAGCCCACTACAGCCTTACGCTGTCAATCAGTTTCTTATATCTCATTCTCGACACAAATTGTATTATATTTGCAAACCCTGTGTGTCTGTCATAAGTGTGTTGTGAAAACACTCGGGGTTTCTGTTCATTCATTTACTAATAAAATGTTTTCTCCATTTCTCTCATCCATTAGTACGGAATCAAGAAAAGGGAGGAAAAGGAGGCTGAGCTCAAGAAACAACAGGAGGAGCGGATGGGTCTCGCGGCCGGCGGTATCAACCGATCCAAGAAAACGCCCGAAGAGATCGCTGCTGAACAGGCAGCCGCTGACCAGGATGACTTCACTAGTAAGTCCATGTTTTGTTATTATCTTGGTGTTTTTTGTTTCGATTGCTATATCCAATTCTTTGTGAAAAAACAAAAATCAATTTTTTTGAAAAGTTTAGTTTTGTTTTCTATTTGTGCGAATGAATTGCAGATAAAATCAATTGTTTTTGAATTGAGATTTCAATTTAGTTTTATATGTTTTTTCTATGCATTTAAGGGACACTCATTTCGTTGTATTACTGCAAACGCAAGCCATAAATAATCCGATTTTGAGACACTTTTTGTGTCTCATTTTAAATAATGCTTTTTTCTCTTTTATATAATAAATGTCATTCATTTTCTTAATTAGTTTCTCTATGTTTGTATTTGTGCTATTTATGTATAATTTGTTGTGATTGTAGTAATTATGTTAAAAATTTAATTTTCCATTATTTCTAGAATTAAAAAACTCAATCGAAACACAAGTGAATGATATAAAGGGTCAGATCGAAGAGAAATGTTCGATACAATAGATCAACAATATATTCAATACTATATTATATTAATATACAAAAACAGTTTTCAAAATATTTAATATTATATATAATTGATTATATGAAACACTTATCCGTCGTTTGAAGACTCAAATCAGAAATACAAATACAGATAAATATTACCATTGAATTAGAATTAATATTTCAATACAAATACATTATATAATTTATAAGCAAAAACTTTTAAAACATTTTAACTTGAGAAATATAATTAGCAAATGATTCTCGAAATATACTGTAAGAGTGAAACAGAAATTGTTGGAAATACGGAAAATAAATACAGTTATGGTTTTGAATGAAAACTAGAAAAATAATAATAATTGCGAACAAAATAAATCTCGAGAAAAGGTTTCGATAAGAGAATAGAAAGAAGTGTATTATTAGTGCCACAAATGTCACACCGAATGGACCCAACACTCCATTATAACACATACCAGTGCTGTATATAAAGAGATGGCATATAAAAAGGCGTTTAATAATAAGAAATGCATTAAAATCCAACCCATCATCTATATCTCTACGATTTATATCTCGGGCATATTTCTCTCAAAATAGCCCACATTTTTGTGTTAAATACCCGCACTTTAAGAACTTTTTCGTTTTTAATTATTCAAATCCTAATTTTGTTTTTGATGTTTTTGATATCATTCATTTTACAAATTTGGGAAAAACAATATTCAGAAAATAATAGTCTAATAATAATAAACACCATAATTTAGGGCGCATTCCGTTATACATATTTTGTTAGCCGTAAAAACTAATACAAAAAATCGATTCGTTTATATAGTATTTCATATTTCAATCGCTACAAAGTTTATTAATTATTTGTTTAGTGTGTGGTGTATGTGTTAAGTAAATTGTTTAAAATGTTTTTAAATATTTCGTTACTCCTAGAAAAAGCGTTGTTTTGACAGTTGGTATGCAGTTATCTATCTATTAATATATAAATAATATAAAGCATCAGAATACTTTTTGAAACCAATTTTTTTTACGATGAAAACATCAGTATTTAGAGCGGAATATATAATCTCAATATTATTAACAAACATTTCATTTCACTTATAATGTAATGAATATATTCTGTCAAATCTTCTCATTTTTCTAGAAATTTCTTTGAGATTAGAATTATTATTATTATGTGTTTTGTTTTGTTTTGTGAATAAATTGAATGAATTTATTTTTTCGTAGATATATTTGTGTCGTTCAAACAATTGCATAGCAATAAACACAACAAACGATTCATTCACTGTTTGTTTGCGAGTAAACCCAGACATTTATATAGATATTTCTTATGGTGTGTGTGTAATATAAATCACTTTTAATAGTTATTTCTCTTTTAGTTTATATTTTTATTATGATTTCGGTTCTGGCGTTCAATGTCTTTGTTTTACTCTCAGTTTTCTTTCTCTCTTTTTAATGCATTTCTTATTATTAAACGCCTTTTTATATGCCATCTCTTTATATACAGCACTGGTATGTGTTATAATGGAGTGTTGGGTCCATTCGGTGTGACATTTGTGGCACTAATAATACACTTCTCTTATCGAAACCTTTTCTCGAGATTTATTTTGTTCGCAATTATTATTATTTTTCTAGTTTTCATTCAAAACCATAACTGTATATATTTTCCGTATTTCCGACAATTTCTGTTTCACTCTCAGAGTATATTTCGAGAATCATTTGCTAATTATATTTCTGACGTTATGTTTTAAAAGTTTTTGCTTATAAATTATATAATGTATTTGTATTGAAATATTAATTCTAACTCAATGGTAATATTTATCTGTATTTGTATTCTGTTTTGAGTCTTCAAACGACGGATAAGTGTATCATATAATCAATTATATAGAATATTAAATATATTTTGAAAACAGTTTTTGTATATTAATATAATATAGTATTGAATATATTGTTGATCTATTGTATCGAACATTTCTCTTCGATCTGACCCTTTATATCATTCACTTGTGTTTCGATTGAGTTTTTTAATTCTAGAAATAATGGAAAATTTAATTTTAACATAATTACTACAATCACAACAAATTATACATAAATAGCACAAATACAAACATAGAGAAACTAATTAAGAAAATGAATGACATTTATTATATAAAAGAGAAAAAGCATTATTTAAAATGAGACACAAAAAAGTGCCTCAAAATCGGATTATTTATGGCTTGCGTTTTGCAGTAATACAACGAAATGAGTGTCTCTTAAATGCACAGAAAAAACATATAAAACTAAATTGAAATCTCAATTCAAAAACAATTGATTTTATCTGCAATTCATTCGCACAAATAGCAAACAAAACTAAACTTTTCAAAAAAATTGATTTTTGTTTTTTCACAAAGAATTGGATATAGCAATCGAAACAAAAAACACCAAGATAATAACAAAACATGGACTTACTAGTGAAGTCATCCTGGTCAGCAGCTGCCTGTTCAGCAGCGATCTCTTCGGGCGTTTTCTTGGATCGGTTGATACCTCCGGCCGCGAGACCCATCCGCTCCTCCTGTTGTTTCTTGAGCTCCGCCTCCTTTTCCTCCCTTTTCTTGATTCCGTACTAATGGATGAGAGAAATGGAGAAAACATTTTATTAGCAAATGAATGAACAGAAACCCCGAGTGTTTTCACAACACACTTATGACAGACACACAGGGTTTGCAAATATAATACAATTTGTGTCGAGAATAAGATATAAGAAACTGATTGACAGCGTAAGGCTGTAGTGGGCTATAATTGAGAGTAAAATAATAGTAACAATAATAATGGGTATAAGAAAATACAAAACTAATCAACTGAACGGAGAGAGAGTGAGAGAGAAATATAATATATTGTAACGAAAAAACATTACAAACGGGAAGTATAGACAGTGAGAGGGAAAAGACATACGAGAGAAGAAAATAATGAACAGAAAAATGAAATCAAAATAATGTGAGAAAAAAGGCATTAATGCAATCGAAATGTAAGGGAAATATTGAGAGAGAAAATCAATTGCAAATCGATTTGAACGGCAAAAACAACAGCAAAAAATCGTTTCCTATCGTATTATATGCAACACAACAGTAATGGGACAGAATATTCTGTATATTATACTCAGAATATTATTATATATATTATATTCTGTATATTATATTCAGAATACTCCGTGAGTGCCGGTGCGGACCTTATCTCTGATGCCTTGTCTCATGCCCTCCCTTTCCTCCTCCATCTTCCGGTGCTTCTCCTGTCGTCTCTCCTCGGCCTCCCGGAGCGCATCGAGTCTTTCCTGTTCTAATTGCTGCAACTTCTCCTTCTCCTCGGGTGTCGGTCCCTCACCTCCGCCAATGTCTGTCCGCAAACAAGTCAGTCATACATTAGTTATCATGAGATTAGAGTAAAATTAGTGTTTTTTATATGAATTTATTGGTAGGCTTTGAAAATGCAAAACTATTTATAGAAAGCAATTAAATAAATGGATAAAACAAACGGATAACTTGTTTCGTACAAAAAACTTGTCAATAATAGGAGTGAAAACTAATGATTACAACGAGTTTAATGAGAATTTGGTCACTATTTTCTTACACTCGCCTTAACGGTTAGAGTGAGTGTAAGGTTTCGCTGTGTGTTAAGTATTATTAACAATAGTATTGGTAACCAATAAGTGAACCGTTGTTTAGTTGATTACGACACGTATGGGTACTGCACACAGAGCTATAGTCGCAACACAAATGCGATACAATAACTGACAGAAAATAGCAGACAATTGGACCGAAACTTTCTACTATGCGATCGAACCGTACTTTCGGTGCATTTATTTATCTGAAGGCCAGTCGTGAGTGGAGACGAGAGAAAAAAGTTTCATTTGCTTTACTATTATACTGTTTGTGGTGTTTGTGCTGCAGTTGCGTGAATGGACGGCAATGGAGGGATCAGATCGACACTAATATGATAGCCGTTGATGGCATGGGTCACAATGGATAGACACCATTGATATGGATGTACGATAGATACGACACACAATTGAATCCCAAACTACTATTTATAAGAGCGTACGGACTATGAGTTTGAATAGCATTTCTTATGGAGTTGTGGTCACAGGGATGTTGTGACACGACTGACAATCATTGGCTGGCATTTATGTGTCGGCTATTGATTTTTATCAGGCTATTTTTGCACGAAAATTAATATTCATATAAACCATTAATTTAGCTCTGCTTACAATCGGTTTTTATATATACATTAACTTTGTTTCATATCATAATTATATATAATTAACCAAATGCAAAACATGTTTCAATAAAATTATTTATTTATACAGTATTAATATTGATTTTTCTAGTACATTTTCAAATATTACTCTGTTTCGTAATTTTTAATTACCAATATTGAGAGTTATTTTTATATAACTTACATAAACTTAACATTCACATGAATCGTAAACAAATTAGCATAATATATTTATAATGTAGATGCGAATATTATTTATTAAATATAAAAAATATTGCGTTAATGAAACATAAACTTAATATACAGTAGTACAGTATAATATTATATAACAGATAACAAAATACTGTACTAACATTATTGTTTTTATTTCAAATTAAATTCAGACATTTCTGTTATCAACTAAATAAATACAATGAATTACCAGAATATTTATTGTATCAAAGCTATCCTTCGGTTGAAAATAAAATAATTAATATTAAAATCAATAAATGCTTTCTCGTTATCAAATAGGTTACTGAGAAACACAGGAAATTATAGTCATTATTATTATGTCTGGACTTTCTGTGTCTCATAATTATTGATTATATGACTAAATGCTATTTACACACAATCTGAATATAAAATACGGAATCATAATAGATTTATATTCATAATAATAATATCATATTAATTAAATATAGAAATAAAACAAGAATTATTTGATATTCTTTAAATACATATTTATAAATAATCATTTTAAACAATGTATAATTTTATTTAAGTGAGTAAGCAAAATAGGAATTACTGTATAAATGCTAAATAATTATAACAAAATAATATTGTACGGTATTTACAGTATAGTAATATAGTATAGTAATATAGTTAATTTTCCGGGGAAATGACATTAATATTGACAGGTAATGACTATATTAATTGTAGGCTAATTTTATATAATTATTTCACTTGATTTTACAGTATAATTGAATATTATTTGAAAACAATTCATTTGAAATCAACATATATTTCCTATTAACTTAGAGTAGATTATGCAATTTGCAGTATTCAAATATATTGAGTATTCATTAATTTGTATGAAGTCAATTTTCCTGTTTAAAATATTTTCTGGGAGTTATTTTATTTTTGTTAATTTTTCCTTTCAAATCTTTAGTTAATGTCTCTAAGTTAGACACGTGTCGTATGTTTTAAATGAATTCATTAAATATTTCATATATTTACTAATTATATGTTTGACAGCATATTAAGTAACTCAAAGACAAAGTTATAGTTTTTGTATGTGATATTGCATTAACTGAAATATACATTAATTGCTATTTATATATTAATATTTGTTTTCTCACTCACTACTGTAAAATCAAAATTATAATCATAGTATTGATTAGTTTTGTTATTATGATTACCTTAAATAATTGTGAATCTAATCTTTTCTTTAAAATTATGATAAAAATTATTTATTTATTTTGTTTATTTAATTCATTTAAATTCACATTAGTTTTTAAAATAGTCAATGAATGATAATGCAGCTAATGATAGCAAATGTAATTTTTGAATAATTGTAGTTTTAAAATTGTGATTTAAGTGTACCATTTAATGTTCAAACAATTCCCAAATGTCATCAAAATTTTCGTATTTTGTTTGAATTAACAATTTCACTGCAATTATAACTGAAATCCAAATAACATAACCTATAATATAAATATTTTTTCGGCTACAAAGCTTTATTACATAATTACTACACAAATGAATGATCATTTTTACATTTAATTCATAGTATTTCTGTACAAATGGTATGTATTATTCAAAATGAGTCCAAAATTCGTGATCACATGGAAAAAGCGTAAACACAACACAATCGCGAATAAAATAAATTAAGTTTTTCTGTAAATTTCATAAAAATCGTAAATCCTATCACGTCTTATATATGGGAATAATATATATATTTTTGCCAAATAATCTCAATTGGCTTTAAGTTCACACACCATATATACCGCTCTAGTAATCAAATCGACAAAACCTTGTATTAAGTGAGCAGTAAGAGAGAGAGAGAGAGAGAGAGAGAGAGAGAGAGAGAGAGAGAGCTTTATTACGAAAAAATAGATGAAAAATAAAATTAAAGGAAAAGATTTAAAGAAATATTGATTTAATTCATTTTAAAATAAATAAATAAAATGAAGAAATAAATACACAATTCTTAAATTCTGTTTTCTACAAAAATGTAGTAAATTAATAATATATTAAATTAAAAGTATTGATAGCCTTAATACCAATTATAAGTTATAAGTCTATAATAGAATTTTTATATAATTATATTAGTGGGAGAACTCATAAAATGTTTGATGATAGTCAGCAAAAAAGCAAATAAAATTAATTTTTAAAATTTTTATTATATAGTTTTTATAGTGGAAATGGATGTACACTGGAGTGAAATTACACGACACAATATATTGGACACAGAATTGATTTTATTTAATGCATTCATAGAGTTCTTAGCGTTTAATTCAATTTGCACACAAAAATCAATGCCTATATTTAATGAATATTCTGTAATAATATAAGAAAACGAGTGCTGAGAACCAGAATCGGAGTGACAATCAAATTATAAGACAGATTCTTAACGAACCCCAGAATATGTATGAATGGCTTCAAATTAATTTTGTATGCATTTTGAGTGATAGTAAAGATATAAATAAATATAAGAATAAAACTAAAAAATCAAGGAATCAGCGAAAAAAAAGCTTTTCGCAGGAATTTCACACCCAATGAGTTCATTAAATTAAATATTTTTCTTTGTAATCAATGATTAGGTATAAGAAGTTCGTTCATTCATTAATAAAGTTTTTTAATTGTTTTTGTAATCACTGCTAAGTCGAGCGTTATTTAAGACATGACGAGAGACTATATATAAAACTTTTTATTTTACGCCAAAATTCCTGATCAAAGACTTGGCTAACGATAAAAAACTTAGGAATTCCTTATATTCTATGCGTTTGCATACATTCTCTCCGTAAGTATTTACTTATAGTCGAGAGTCAAGAGTAAGGAAAAACTTCGTTAATACCATTCACTATATGTTTGGCATATAAGCAATGCTCTCATCAGGTATGCCAACACATACTTTAGTTTTTGATAACAACCCCTTAATCATTACAAGTGATGAATAAAGAGTAAGTGAATAAGTAATAGAAAAATAAAGATGAGAGAGAGAGAGAGAGAGAGAGAGAGAGAGAGAGAGAGATTTCTATAATAATTATTCATAGAATATTAATGATGTTTATACATAATTTTTTTCAGACAAACTTCATTTGATATTTCCTTGATATAGCCTCACACGAAGATTTGTATTTTTATATTACATTAAATCCTCACTAAAACCGAAAAATAGATGTGTTTTATATGAGTTGTAGTGAACAGATTCCATGTGTGCATAACATTAATATAAGGGATTTCTGTGTGACTGTCGCTCATTGTTGTTGAACTTAATCTCAGATTATTAGAGAACAAGAATTTCTTATATTTATTAAACACTAATCCTATTTTGTCTTTTTATTTTTATTACACATTTTTGTTTTCAAACCGAGAAAAACTGATATATAAGACATTTTCCATGAGAGACGATCCGTATTTGATTCATGACTTATAATATACGGAATTTTGAATTATTTGAATCTTAAAGGATTTTTTGCTCCAGAGATAGGGAAAACCAGGGCTTTATCCGCAAATATTATTCTGTATATAATATTAATGGTTTGTGAAATAAAATTTTAATTTGTTTTTTATGGTATGATATCAGAGACAAGGAATTCCTTCGCATATTATTTTGGTGTCAAATATCGCTTCCGTCGAAAAAATGGTTTAAAATTTAGGACTCATTTTTGCTGCGAAACCATATTTTACTGAATTAATCAGTGGTTTAAAAATAAATATAAAATATATGAACAAAAATCAATACGAAAAGTTTGTCAAACATTCCGTTTATAATAAACTGATAGATAGGGAGTATATCTAATAAATGAATGGTTGTGCAGAATTGACGTATCGCTGATTTTGACTTTATTTTGCTTGTCTTTCCTATAGATCTAACTCGAGACTTATACTATAACTATAACATCGGATAACATATGAAATAATAATTGTATTTATTCTTCACTCTCAAGAATAAAGTGATGCCATAAAGTAAATAGAATTCAATACCACTTCATATGAAATATGATTAACTCGTATAGCGATGACTGCAGTGAACACACCATTTGAGGCATACTTCGCATGGAGTGACAAAAACAAGCAAAAATAAATGCTCGCATTTGGGATATTTTTGCATTACAATCATAAATTAACATTTATATAACATAAAAAATTATTTTTTATTCTTAACAACACTTTTGAAAGCCAGTGAAATATTCAACATTTTTGCTATGAGTTAAGCGATTTTTGCTAGTTATAAATAACTTTTCGCAGATATCAGTAGCGTTTGGAAAATATAATTTGCATCAAAATTAAATGATAGCACATATATACACATACAGAGAATAAGTCTATAGCCTTGGTATTTGATTGTATGGTTAATGTGATGTAAATAATGATTAACTC